TTGTATATGTATATCAAAAGTTGTTTGAGAAGGAATTGAAGCTTTTAATTTGTTTTGTTTTTTGATTATTATTGCTTGAAATTAATTTTGGAAAAAAGGGGAAGATATAAGGTTTTTTTTCTTCTTCCTGCCTCCTTTCATTTCAGTTGGGATTTGTGTTTTTTGTTGTGTATAATATTTTTTGTTTTGTTTTTGTTTTTTAAATGAAATGAATAAAGGTTTGAATAGAATAGAAACTTACTGAGGTCCGTTCACTCTTGTGTTTTGGCTTTATTTCCACTGTAACAGGAACACAGGAGGAGAGAAGGGTCTTTAAATACGCCCTTGACAACCTAGAGAATGAAGCGACAGGAAGGCTGTACGCTGGCAATGGTTTCGGAGGTCGAAATGCTCCAACGTGCCCGTTTGATTCACCACAGCTCCTGCTTCGATTTGAAGAAGTAAGTCTGACATTATTACAGCTCTCTGCTGTGTTCAGCTGGTTGTTGTCAGAGTTTTATGTACTGAAGCTTTAAGATGCTAAAATAAGTTTCACAAATCAGAGGTTTATAGTAACTAAGTACATTTACTTTGTTAAAGTACTTAAGTAATTTTTTGAGGATTTGTAATTTTACCAAGTATTATTTAAAATTATGACTTTTACTTTTACTTACCGTATTTATTCAAGTATAATACATAAAATTTAATCCATAAAATCATGCACAAAGTTGGGAGGTAGTACTATACTCGGATAAATATTTTTGCTGATGTATTTTAACTGAAATATCTGCCTCATTCTCAAAATCCCTGAGTCCAGAAATGAAACCATGTCATAAAAAGCGGTTGAAGCGAGCTCACCTCTAACACTCCTTCATGCCTCCGAGCGAGATAGTAACAGATCCAAGCAGCAACACGATGTGAAAAAAAAAAAGGAAAAAATCCAGTCCTGCATAACGAACTAATGATATTAATGTGCGACCGGCAGCTCCTGGAACAACAACAAACACATGGTCAGCTGTAATGGCTGCCGTCTACCTGAAAAAAGTTTCCCCACCAGAGGGGGCGCTCATGAGACACAGAGGATTGTTGTTGAGTGGGATTCTGATGCCTTTATTACAGAGGAGGAATGCTATTTATTTTATTTATTTACCGTTATTTTACCAGGCAAGTCCCATTGAGATCTCAGATCTCTTTTTCAAGGGCCGCCTTGAATACCAGAAACTTTTAATGATACTGATGATGGTGAGACTGATTTTGAAGGCTTTTAATTCTGCTTCATCCACTCTTGTTAGAGCCACATA